ATAGTTAAGGGACCAGCTCCCCATTTCGGCAGCCATAATAGCCGAACATAACAGCTTGTCTGACCTTGCCTTAGTCACTAGGAGGTCAGATGCCTGCCTCGTGGCAAGGAACCAATCAGAAGTTAGCTGGTGGCGCTATGCTTACGGCTCTGGGTGTGCTTTACAGACAAGTGCACAGCAATGACGCACAAAGCATAGCAACCACCCTGGGAGGGCCTATGGGCCATAACAACCAGTTGACCAATCAACACAGGGCAAGCCCTCCAAGCCTGGAGCCACACCAATCCTGAGCCTGTGCGTACCCCTAGACACTCCCCTTACACTGCCCTATAAGATCTCTATGCAGACACTTCGAGCTGTCTTTCCTAGCCATCTACCATGGCGGGTGGATGAAAGACCCGAGCTAACATGGGGTTAGCTCGTTAAACAACTTTAATAAAGCCTCGTGCAGTTTGCATCAAGCTTTCGAATCCGCCTGGTGATTGGGGTGACCGAGGTCCTGGGCTGAGATCCTGGAGGCCTGAGCTTCCAGGAGTCTAACAATAGCAGTGGAATGCAGAGCATAGCAACTTCCCTGGGAGGGCCTCTAAGCATAGCAACCTTTCTGCAGCTGCAGCTGACCAATCAACTCAGGACAGGTTGCCCAAGCCCGGAGGGCAATCCTGAGACTGTTGCTATGCAACTACAAGACCCCCCCCCAGACACTCACCTTGCTCTACCCCAATATATTCCCTGCCCCACTGATGCTCCAGGTCTTTCCTGTTAGGACCCGACACCAGGCTGACCCCGCCCACTGCCAGCTTTCTCAGGCACCCCAAAGATGGTCAAAGTCCCCCAGGTCAGCAGGAAGCAACTGCCCAGCTCCCCACTTTTTATGATAAATAAGAGTCAGGATTATTAGGACCCAACACCAGGCTGACCCCGCCCCCTGACAACAGGCAGGACACACACAGAGACGTGCTATGTCATCACATCACTCATCACGCATGACGGGCTTGTGTGAGGACTCTGTGCGTGCATGGAACCTCAGTGAGCATGGGCAGCCTTCCCTTTAAAAGTTCCAACTCCCCTCACCTCTCTCTCTCTCTCTCTCTCTCTCTCTCTCTCTCTCTTTCTGCGTCTTCTCTCTTCCTCCCTTCCCTTCTCTTACTCTGTCTCTCTCTCTTTTATTCTCTCTGCTCTGCTGGCCTATAATAAACTATGGTTAATGTGTCTCTTGTTCTCATGTCTCATCTTGTGCCTTTTACTAATTTAAGCAAGAGAAAAATACCTGATTCACCCGCTGTGTTGAATGAACAGGAGAACCTCCCTGAGTTAACTCATAAAATTAAAGACGCTTTGCTTTTGCATGAAAATGGGTCTCTAGGTGATTTTTTTGGGGGGGGGGGTTCAGAATTTGGGCATAAGAGCATGCCAATAGACCAAAGGAAAAAACGGCCCGGTAACATCAAGGCTGGCCCAGGCTGCTCCAGAGGCCAGACCCAGAGTTGTCCCCAATGAAGTCCCTCGTGTTGATAGAGTTCATCAGTTTTTGGCTTCGTCTGACTTCTGGTGAACTCCTGGTTTTGAAATCGTATTCACGTTGCTACTGTGTTTATATGATGTATGTGTGTTCTCGTGAGAGCCTGGAAGTGTATACATTGCCACCACATGCGTGTGGAGATCAGGCTTCGGGATTTGGCTCTCCTCCCTCGTTGGAATAGCATCCAAGGACTCTAAACTCTGTAGTCAGTGAAGGGCTCTAACAGGGCCAAACCTGGCAAACATGGTGCCTATTGTTGGATTTCTGCTTAAATTAAAAGAGAGATAGATGAGACTCAAACTATAGAGGACACATTAACTAGTTTATTACAGAGAAGAGAGACAGAGTGAGAGAGAGACGTGAAGGGAGGCAGAGAGAAGAGAGAGAGAGTTAATGACTGACCGCCATGGTCGGTGGCCAGAAAGAGAGAGAGAGAGGGTAAGAGAGACAGGTACAAGCTTTAAAGGGAAAGCCGAGCATGTGCACTGAGGCTTCACACATGCGCAGTGTCCTCATGAAGGTCACAGGTGATATGGATGATGGGCACAACACCGTGTGTGCCCCACCTGATGTCAGGGGGCGGGGTCTGTCTCTTAAAGGCGTAGAGCTGGGCAGCACTAATGCCTGAACCTTTCACCTATAGGTCCTCTGTCCTTCACCCTTTTTCTTTCATCTCCCTTACCTGGCCATGTCCTTATTCCTGAGACTGACTGCCAAGGCTAAGCCACCAGATGCCCTAGCTAGAATTCCACTTTTTTCTCTTTAAAAGCCACCCCTGCAGAGCTGCTTGCTGCTGTTTCTGTCCTCAGCCACCCGTTTCTCTGTCTTGCTTGATAAAGGATCTCTTTGTGTTGGAAACTGGTGTTTGGGTGTGGTTCGTGTCTAATCCTGGGTCCAGAAGGGAGCACCCTATGGTGGCGTACACCTTTTATGGCAGCACTCAGGAAGTAGAGGCAGGAGGGTCTCTGTAGCTTCCAGGTCAGCTCTGGCTACTCAGTGAAACCCTGTGTGGTAGTTTGAATGAAAATGGCCCCTACAGGCTCATAGAGAGTGGCATTATTTGAAAGGGCTAGGACAGGTGATACGGCCTTGTTGGAGTAAGTATGGCCTTGCTGGAAGAAGTTCCTCAGTGGGCATAGGCTTTGAGGTTTCAAATGCTCAAGCCAGGCCCAGCCTCTCTCTTCCTGCTGCCTGCCACTGCAGATGTAGAACTCTGAGCTGCCTCTC